CTTTGAAAAGAGGCAATGGGAATGTGGAAGCGTGAGTAGAGCCGCATACCACCGAACAATGAGCCTTTTCACTGTGTAATTCAAAGCGTGCAAAGCATGCAGGGCCACAAACCGAGAATTTGCGATTTGGCAGGTGGCCTTTCTGGCCAAGCGAGGCTGGAATTCTCAGAGTCGGCTTTCAGAAAATAGTTCCCGTCGTCAAGGGGTTAACATCAAATTATTAACACACGAGAAAACAAAGCTGGAAGGAAATCACTCGATAGGTCCTGTGTAAATATTAACACGAAAAAATTGCCACGAAATTGAAAGGTTGAGGGAGGGCCGACACCGCATTCCCATGTCTCTTAATTCTTTTATCATGCTTATTTGTTTCATTGTAATCCAATCTCTTTTGATAGTTGTCATTCATATCAGCTTTGTGATTGTTTTGTGTTCATCTGCTGCTCTCAATTTTCAGTCCCTGTTTATTTACTGTCCTCCCAATCTTTTTATCGTCTCACTTTTGGGATGATTAATAACTGTTTCATTTCTGTTCGCTTTTTTATGTTTGCTGGCATAACCACCAATAACTCATTCTGTGCTGATGATCTTTACCAGAATACCTGTTCTACTTTGAGCGCAGTGATTTATGATGGCTCAGTGTTTCTACTCCTAATTGGTTTTCCAGGTAGTGTGGAAAAACCCTTGTTTTTCTTCTTAGGGCAAGGATAAAAAGTAGTTTTCCCATTCTGACACGCTCGGGCGCATTTCTCCCATTCAGCACAGGGATTAAATAAATAATAAAGTAGGCCAACTCAGTAGAACTCCTGGCTTAAACAAGTGCCAAGGGAAGGACCTGAGCTCATTAGAAGTTCCATTGTGTGCATCCTTTGTGATGTTAATTACCTGTTCCCCATGTGCATTTATGCCCACAATGGTAGAAGTATGCAAAATACTGCAAGTTACAATAGATGCATAACAAGCAAAGACTGGTAAAAGTGTACCTGAACACAAATTCAGTTGTGATGCTAGGGCAACTTTTTGTGTTGAATGCAATTCAACTCTGGCGAATTCCACAGCGAAGGCTTCCAGGACATCAAACTACATCACATTTGCTGAAGTAGTGGTGGGATCGAAATCCGGATTTTTGGTTATCTGGTTGTTATTCTGCAATCCGGTTTTAAATTTCAAAACCAATGTCCGAAACCAAGAGAAAAAACAAACAGCAACGCAAAAAAGTTTAGAAAATGTTTATCTTTTGATAACAGTCTTTGATCATTGGTGGAAAAATCTTTTCCCAGTAGTGTCCGGCTCTCCCAAACACTCAATTCAGTCTCACTATTATGACAACAGTAACAGATCAGCTTGAACACACTGCTATTATTGCCCATGACTCTGCAAGCCGATTCTTTAGTAGACGTGTTTCAGCGCTGCAAACATCTGAGGGTTTAACCTATGAGCGCTTTTCATCCGTAGTCTACGTGTATCGATTCACCACTATAAGAACTGCCCATTGACAAACCACACCCTCGGTGTGAAGCAAATCCAGAATTATCTAATGCGACCACAGTTACCAGACTCTTTTAAGACGGCAAATGAATATTCCTCAAAGACAAACTTCAGGCACTTTAAGGGATGTGCAGCAAGTTCATCGGCAAAACTTCAACATATCAGAGCAGTGCCAAAGGACGCCGATGGTAAGTTGACTCCAATGGGTGCCCCGCGGTATAATTGAAGCAGAACATTTTAGGTGTCCAATTCCTTCGAAGATGTGTTGTAGACTTTTTGTCAAATAAACCACAGTCCTAGAGACCTTTTTCTTTGTCCTGTCAAGAATTTAGTCTTGCGGTTTAACTTGTTCGTGCTACGTACCGTAGCAAACTAAACCAGTGATTTGTATTTGGCCAGCACTTTATCTGCATTTCTAGTCTAGGTTCACCATCTGAAAAGCTTGCTTCCTGCTGCTCATAACCAACCTTTCTGTTTCCAATTTATAGTGCGATTTTCGTGTCCAGTGTTAAAACCTTAGCTCCGTCTGGATGTTGTTTGACAAAATAGATAGCTCAATCTTAAAGTGTAAGCTCTGCGGAACACAATTGAGCTACTACGGAGGATTCACTGTGACTATGCTTACCCACCTCAAGTTTAATCACAGCACCTTAATTGGTGCCGAAACTGCACCATCACGTTCGACGTTGAGTCAATCTACCATGGACTTTTTCGTCAGTCTGCAAATGTGTAAACCAGTCAAGGCAGAGAAGATTTCCCAGCCGACTCCTGTCTTCCTATTAGTTTAGTTGAAAACGGCAGTTTCGAAACCTGATTGCATTTATTGAGCCTGGGTACTCCATCCCGTACCCCAAGTCAGTGACATCCCACCTCCATGTATGTTCGCAGCAGAAAAGAAATCCGTCTCCAGCAGCTCAGAAAAACAAAGAGTGTCGCCCTAACAACTGACTGCTGGACAGCTTGAAACCAAGAGGGTTACATGACGATCCCCTTGCATTTCATCGATGATGGTGGAAGCACAAGACCAAAGTACTGGACATGTCCTCTGTGGCCATGTTTGAAGTTAATGATGATGGCACAGCAAGTGCGGCTGGGCCTCAAGTTCAACAACACACAGCTGCTGTGCTTACTAACCAGCTCGAGGGTGCCATTGATGAGTGGAACCTTGAAGGCATTGTCAGCGTTGTCATTCATGACAATGCCAGCAACATCAAGAATATTGGACAATACATCGGGGTTGAGGTTGTAGCATGTGCAGCCTAACCCTCCAGTTAAGCATTGGTACGGGGATGGACAGCAACTGGTGCATCTCTACGCAGCATCTGGCCTCCGTGACCATTTTCACCACAGCACCGTTCAAACAAAGGCCCCAGAGGCAAACTAAAAGCAGCATGCCAACCATTTTGCATTTCAAAATGTTCGAGTGTAAAAATGAAACATGAAAACTACTTACATGTTTTTGTCTTTTCATTCCCTTACCTGGAATATTATACCCTTTTAAAATTAAAGTGAGATTTAGCAACACAAAAAGTGCATTTCCGTCACCGCCACGGAAATGCATTTCCATTGTGTCTGTACTCATGGACTGTGATTGGACAGTCGACAGGTGAGCGGCACGTGAGTGCTGCAGTTTTGCAGGCGGTGACAGCCAGGCTATTAGCCACAGCATGCACAAATATAAGTTCGGTCACATGGCCACCGTAAAGAATCAATGGTTGGACTGCAAGCGTGCAGGCTACCTGAAGGTCATGATAGGCATAAGGCTTCCTGGAAGCCGCGACCGGAGTCAGAGGCAGTACTAAGGGGGAATTGGCACAGTGTGCACCAAAAAAAAGAAAAGGACATGAAAAAATTGTCACAAAAAAGTACACAGTTTTGGTTGGGAGTCAGGTTGGCGTAGTGTGGTTTTTTCCTTGCCTCCCACCCTGGTGGTCTGGGTTTGATTTCAGGCTGGGTCTACATGTGAATTGGGTTTTCAGTCCCACCTGATTCTGTGGGTTTTACTCAGAATATTCATCTGGGGATTTCCTCCAACCTGAAACTGCTCCTCGGTGCCTCATTTCCACAGGTTTCTTCGGGCTTGCGAGCTACAGCGCCTAGGGAATTTTTGGGAATGCTTGATGTCATTAACAGAAAAAAAAATAATAAAAATCTCAAAATTCACAATGTCTCATTGGACCTTATTTTCATTTTTTTTTTGTCTAAAATGTATGATTAAATACGTATAAATTTTATTCCATCGTGTTGAATGTTTAGGAGTAGTACACAAATATTGCCAATTTTTTTAATCAAGAAATAAGAATTTTTGCTAAGCCCATTTTTTGGGGGGAGGGGGGCTTTTCTTGTTGCAAACTTAAAATTTCCATATTTTCTGAAGAACATGCCCATCTGGTCGAAACCCTTGCAGACATCTAGATCTGGGCCGGCATGATTATCATTTTTTCCGTTTTCAAAATCTTTCAACAATTCATCATTCCATTTAACAGTCGTTTATAGCCGCACAGAGTAATCTTTAGGCACTACTCTAAGTTGACAGGTGACCTTCATTGACGCCCGAATATTTCACCTAGATTGTGCGCTGTCTTTTGTTCACGAACCTGGCTCAGTGCACTGCTGACCTCTTTTCAATAGGGGCCAGATTAGCATGCAGCG